AAAATAAATGGGCTGGATTTGAAATCTATGCTTTATGTTTCAGAATTAAAATGTAATTTATTGTCAATAAGTAAAATTACTAAGGACCTAAATTGCACTCGTGACATTTTCTCCCTCTCATTGTGAATTTCAGGATTTGTCATCGGGAAGGACGATTGGGAATGCCGAGGAGCGACATGGTCTCTACTATGTGCCGGGTGTTGGACCCTCATCAAGCTTTAGGTTATCGAGTGTTTTGTCCTCATTTTCCAATTCGATGTTCGGTTGTTGCACAATAGATTGGGTCATCCTAGTTTTCATTATTTGAAACATTTATATCCCCATTTATTTTTCAATAAAGATCCTTCATGTTTTCAGTGTGAACATTGCATCCTTGGCAAACAAACACGTGCATCCTATCCTCCCCATCCTTACAAACCTTCAATTCCATTCCATTTAATTCATAGTGATGTATGGGGACCATCATGGAAACAAAATTTTACAAGGAAACAATGGTTTGTTACTTTTATTGATGATCATACCTGTGTGTGCTAGGTTTATCTAATAAAAGAAAAATCAAAAGTAACAAGAATTTTCAAGCAATTTCATAAGCTTGTTACAAATGTCTTTCGATCATTCATTCTTATATTTTGAACAAACAATGCTAAAGAATACTACCGTAATGAACTAAATGAATATCTCCAAGAAAATGGGATTGTTCATAAAGTTCAAGTGTGTCTACCCCACAACAAAATGGAATTGCTTGAAAGAAAAAATCATCATCTTTTGGAAGTGGCTAGATCCATCATGTTTGCACGTCGAGTTCCAAATCACTTTCGGGGGCAAGCGATCCTTACGACTACATTCCTAATCAATCATTTTCCTTGAAAAGTTCTCAAATACAAAACTCCCCTTACTATTTTTCCATCCGTCTTCCCTACTTCATGGGTCCATAATACTCTTCAACCTCGAGTTTTTGGTTGTGTAGTATTTGTTCATAACCTTCAACCTAGTCGAGGAAAACTAGATCCGAAAGCCCTAAAATGTGTCTTCCTTGGTTATTCTCCCACTTAGAAGGGTTATAAATGTTATCATCCACCTACCAAACGAGTCTTTATTTCCTTGGATGTGACTTTTCTAGAGAATCGGCCTTTCTACTCTCATGTTTATCTCTAAGGGAGAATAATACTCAAGGAGATAAACTCTAGGATCCCACCTTTTCGGTAATTTTTCTTTCAATGACACACCTAATGATTTCTTTATGCAAGGCCAATGGAACCGATCAAGGGGCGAGGTCCGATCTCATTCAAGGGGGAGAGTTGAACAATGTTGATCTAAAACCGATTCAAGTCTATTCCAATAGACCACGAGCTCTAATGCAAACTCATGAGTCCGAACTAGTGGTAGATTCTAGCAATAGTACTAACGAAGAGGATGGGTCGGGTGGTGAATAACATTATGATTTAGGGTAAGAACTTGTACTAAAGCTCCTAAATATCCTATCTCAAATTATGTTGCATGCTCTAAGCTTTCGGGAGATTTTAAGGCCTTCATTGCCCATATTGATGAAATACAAGTTCCTACAAATATTGTTGAGGCTCTTCAAAATCTTAATTGGAAAGAAGCTATGTTGGAAGAAATGAAGGCATTAATAGACAATGATACTTGGGAAATGGTGCAACTACCGAAAGGGAAGAAAGTAGTTAGAAGTAAGTGGGCTTTTATAGTAAAATATAAACCAAATGGAAAAGTGTCTCGGTTGAAGGCAAGACTCATAGCACAAGGCTTCACTCGGACCTATGGGATTGATTATGAAGAAACTTTTACGCCGGTTGCCAAACTTAACACTATCGGAATCCTATTGTCAATTATCGCCAATCTAGATTGGAGATTATATCAACCAGATGTAAAGAATGCATTCCTTAATGGTACACTCGGATGAAGAAGTGTATATAAAGTATCCCCTAGGATTCGAGGAAGAAGGAGAAGTAAACAAGGTTTGTAAATTGAAAAAATCATCGTATGGCTTGAAACAATCTCCTAGAGCTTGATTTACAAGATTTAGCATTGTGATGAAAAGTCTTGGGTACCACCAAGGATAAGCGAGATCACACATTGTTTGTGAAGAGAAGTGAGTCGGGTAAATAGGCTATACTCATTGTATATGTTGATGATATGGTGATCACAGGTGATGATGAAGTAGGAATTAGCAATCTCGAAGAGAACTCAAGCGAGTTCATGGTAAAAGATCTAGGAGAACCGAAATATTTTCTAGGGATGGAGGTCGCAAGGAGTCATAAAGGAATTTTCATCTCACAAAGGAAGTACACATTAGATTTACTCAAGGAGATAGGAAAGCTTGGTTGTAAGTCATCTAGTACACCCTTGGAACAACATTGGAAGCACAAAGTATCGGATAATGATCCCCCGATAAATAGAGAAAGGTATCAACACTTAATAGGAAAACCGATTTATTTATCACTCACAAGACTCGACATTACCTTTAGTGTAAGTATAATAAGTCAATTTATGCATGCTCCCACTAAGAGGCATATGGAAGCGACAAATCGATTCCGACATACTTGAAGGGGAGTCCCGGCAAAGGTCCGCTATTTAAGAAAAATGAAGTTAGGGATGTTGTTAGTTTTCAAATGCAGATTTGGCGGGAGCTATTGATGATAGCAAGTCAACAACTCGGATATTGTATAAAGGTATGGGGAAATCTAGTGACTTGGAGAAGTAAGAAATAATCTGTGGTAGCTTGTAGTAATGCGGAAGCTAAGTATAAGGATATAGCTCAAGAAATTCGTGAACTTATTTGGATTCGAAGTTAATGACGGACTTAAACATCCAAGTAATGAGCCCTATAAAGCTATTCAATGATAGCAAATCAGCTATCAATGTTGTTCATAATCTAGTCCAACATGATCAAATGAAACATGTGAGGATTGATACAAATTTTATCAAAAATGAGACGGACAATGAAACTATTGTTACGTCCTATGTCTCTATCAAATCTCGGGAAGTCGATATTCGACAAAAGCTCTTCGAAATCAAGTTTTGATATTTATCTTAGTAAGCTCGGGAATGACCAATATTTATTCACCGAACTTGAGGGGGGTGTGGAAAATATGCCTCCAATTTAGGAGGAACAAAATCTTCCTATTTAGGAAGAAATCAATCACTCGTAATCACAAAAAATCGGGAAGAAATATGGCCCTAATTTCCTATTCTAATTTTCTTAAATTGTGGCTTCCTACTCGGTGTATATGGCTCCTATAAAAGGAACCTGCCATTGCTGTATTTGAGTGTGACAGAAATAAAAAAGTTGATACCTTTCTCTTGTGGATGTAGGTCTTCATGACCGAACCATGTTAAACATTGTGTTTTTTTCTTCTTATATTTTTGTTTTAGAAAATAATAAATAAAAAAAATTAAATCCATTCAGTTGAATAGGTTGAAGATAACTACGGAGGTGACACTGTGACAGGAATGTCCAACATGAAATTCAGAAGCCATGGAGAAATTGATTGACAGCTTATTATATCATCACCTTATACACTGGTCCGAAACTCCCTTCTCCTAGCCTATTTGTAACAGAAAAATTCTTTGTTGCAATAGCCTGGCACCCAATTCAAACATATGCAGTTCTTGATCTTGCTTGTTGTTTGAGCTTCTTTCAATAAAACCTGTCATGCTTCCTACAAAATATAGCTTGAACAAAAATAGGAATCGAACAACCAATCTCTTATTTTCGGGCTAACTGGCCTTTCATTAGTGATTTCAAGTATAACAATTTCTTCGACACTTTCCTTTACAGATCAAATTTCAGTTAAAAAAAGACCTAGGGGATTTGAAATACGTACTGATTTTCTGCTGATTCTTTTTCCAAATACGCAAGACCAAGACTAGGCCAAATAAAAGCATTCATGTTGGCAGCGTTAAGATTACAAGTTGAGAAGCAAATCCAAGAGTTAAAAATCAACCATCGGGAATTTCAGAAACTCACTTCTGTATTCTTTCTTGTTGGTAGGTATGGTTGAATAAAACAGACTAATAATCTGGATCCATCCCCTTCAGTTATCTACCAAATTCACAGTATACGACAATGTTGATGAATATTTTGGCCTTTAATTATCAGGATAGACCATGTTTTTACAACTCTGACTGACAAATCCGTTTCATTTTGTCAGAGAAGTTAAAAAAACAGATTTGGGTCAAGTAATCAGTCCATTATGTTGCTAAATATATATATATATATATATGAATTCATTGATCAAAGGAAAAACAAAACAGAAGCGAATTCCTATTACAGAGCTATAGAAAAGGAAACAACTAATAATTAGATTAGTTTCCATTTGTAAAAAATAGCAAACAAATCTGTTCTTCTGATGGTTGATAGATAGGAGTTTTCTGCAGTTTATGCTTAACAGTAGAAAGAGTAGCATGAGAGTTTTCAAAATTGTCACTAAATGATATGTTAAGCATTTAACTCAGTTATGTGCCAAGTCATTAAATGTGAATAGCCTCGTTCTACTAAACATATCTTATGGTGTTTTTCCAAATTCTTCAAAAGGACGAAAAGGGAGGGAAGAAATTAGATTCTCGTGCATTACAAGTCGTTTTCCTCTCGTCATTAATCTAGAGAAAACTTATCTTCTCGTATGTGGATGTAGATTGCCTTGATTGAACTATGTAAATCTTTGTCTCGATTGTTCTCTATTCAATTTATTTGGTTTGTCATTACTCGTTTATTATGCTATTTGCTGCAACAAACGTTTTATATGAGCATGCATAGTTGATATCTAAGATGACTCCACCATTCAGTTTTAATTGTTTTGTTAATACATCAATACTTCATAAAATAAATAAATAAATAAATAAAAATCACCACCACGAAGCATGTTCTATAACAACTAGTTGGCATAACCTACTATATATGTTTTTTATGAACATATAGTTTTAACTTTCAAGCATCACAACTGCAAAAATATTAGTACAAATAAACAAAGACCAAAGTTCTATTGCCTCGGATACTGTGATACTGAATTCATTGACCGAACATTATGATTTCTGTCTTGATAAAGAATCTGCTTCAACCAACCAAAAACATGGTGGTTTTGGCTGGGGAAATGCATCTTCATGGCCTCACCACACAACATTAGAACTAAAGTTTCTGGATATACACCATCACATCCATCAAGGCTACTCAAAAAATATCAGCACAAAACCAACCTATCTTGGCTGTAACACTGAACTTGAGCAATCATTAGCTAATGATGGTTTGCTCTGTTTTGTTGAACTTGCTTCAATAGTATCCCTTTCAATGAAAAAACCTGGATGTTTAGGCTGTGCCAACGCATCTTTGTTACCTAACATCAAAACCACATATGACATGTTTGGCCTAGCCTCTCGACTTTCTTGCACACAGAGTAAAGCCACGTGAATTGAACGTAGCACTTCAGATAAATTGCATGTTTCAATTGCTGACCCCGAAATCAGTTCCATTGGTTTCCCTTCTTGGAACAGTCTCCAAGCCTGATGAACAAAACCATGTTATTAGTCACAGATTTGGTATCTAGAACAAAATGATTCCACTAATCTATGCTCAATCCAAGGACGGGGCATGCCTGACACTCTTAAACTTGTCTGACTTGATTATTTTTCCTTTATATATATATATTGGTGTATTTGAAGTGTGTCAACAAACATTTCCAAGCATCTGGTGGAACCTGACACAGGTACCACAGAGAAACTGAAATTAAGAGTCAAAAGTAACATAATTTTGAAAATTACATGCCCTAGAAGGTTGAGGTTATGATCTGGATGACAGAATCCTCTGTTCCTCTTCCCAGTCACTATCTCTAACACCAATACACCAAAGCTGAAGACGTCTGATTTAAGTGAGTACAATCCATAATTCGCATACTCTGGAGATATGTAGCCACTACACATTCATAGAATGTTGAGTTGAATTTGCATAAAATTGATTCATCAAATGTTAAGTTGCTTTTGCAAAAAAATGCAGATAAAAACATACTATGCATGGTGGAGGCGGCACTTACTATGTCCCAGCCACTTTATTAGTATTGGCTTCAGTTTCATTTCCTCCAAAACTTCTAGCCAGGCCAAAGTCTGAGATTTTTGGGTTCAGTTCAGGATCCAGTAAAATATTGCTGGCTTTCAAATCTCTATGAATTACTCTTAGTCTTGAATCTTGGTGAAGATAAAGAAGTCCACGGGCAATCCCATCGATGATTTTGTAGCGTGTAGGCCAATCTAGTAGCTTCTCTTGTGTTTCATCTGAACAATTTTCTGCTCAGGTCAGTTCATATGTATGATAAGAAAAACAAAACAGGTGGTGATGATTAATACTTGATAAATTTTCAGCGATAATCACAAATTTAATGGCAGCTTGCATGACAATGAAAGCGGAAAAAACTCTTCCCCACAAATCCGTTGTCCTAAAGGGTTCGTGGAGGCTCATAACTTTTGTTCCTAATTAATCTAGCTACCAAACTTTATTTTCGGTCATTGCTCAATGCATGACTCTCATATTGTTGGCTTTGGTGTTTGTACGGTGTCATGCTAAAGTGTAATGATTAGAATAGATATGTTCATGCTTTTTGAGATTCATACTGAAAATAAAGAAGTCCAAGCTTTTGTTTGGTAAGAACTCGTAGATCAGCATATTTTCATCTCCTTCAATGCAGCATCCTAAAAGCCTCACTAGATTCTGGTGCTGAAGTTTCACAATACACTTGACTTCATTTTTGAACTCATCAAGTCCTTGTCTTGAATTCTTAGAAAGCCTCTTTACAGCAATTTCTCGTCCACCTGTCAGTGTTCCCTGCAAATAATCACTCAGTATGATAAGCAGATATACTTTATCTTTTCAGAGTTGAAAATCATGGTTTGCTTGCTAGCACTATTGGTTGGCAAGGTCAGTCCTGTTGTTGAATGGTTCCAAAGAAACTACTGCCCCTGAACTACAGTGGTGGCAGGAGATTGTATCCTGAAATTCGGAATTCTTCAAAGTTTTGCATGATTTTTAAGAGATTAGTACCTTGTAAACAGGTCCAAAGCCCCCTTGTCCCAGTTTACTGTCCACAGAAAAGTTATTTGTTGCACTAGCCAAGGTACTCAAATCAAACAATGGTAATTCCAGATCTTCATTCTTTTGCTTTTTAATATTTCCTGCAAGCAGAATAGGCATGAATAAAACCGGAGATCTCAATTTTAAGTTTTGATCAAATTTCAAAGATTTGACATCAAGTATAACGAGCTTTTTAACAATTTCTGAGTGCCTTAGATTAATTACTCCAATAAATTAAACTTGCTAGCTGAAAATCTGAGAGAGATGGAGAGATAGGAGTAGTTAATTAGATGTTCATGGAGCGGATTACGTACCGTTTTTCTGCTGCTTCTTTTTCCAAATATAAAAGACAAAAACTAGGCCAAAGAACAGAATTCCCGAAGACAACGAAGTGCTTAATACGATCCTTTTCTTCATATTGGATTTAGCATTAGTCTTTGCACCGTCACCATTACCTACAGCATGTGAGATTTTTGGGCGTCTTAGGCTTTAGGAGTTGAGAGCTTTTCTTACATTAAAATTTAAATTTTTAACTTATAAATTGTCATTTGTATATATATTTTTTAATTTAACTATGTTTTTAATAAGTTATTTATGAAGAGCAATTTTGAATTATAACTCAAACGTAAAAGTTGTTTTTCGCAAGTAACTAGAGATACTATTTTTCTGGACTAATGACAAATTCATACCTAGTTCGGTTGCAGCCATCCTTATATAAATTTCTTGCTCATTTCCAACAACAATTCTTATGTCAATCAGGTCACCGAACCAGAGCAAGCACCCACTTCCTCCATTCCTGATGTCCAAATTTGAATATGCTGTGCAGCTACAGTTCTTCAAGCACGTGTTCTTGCATCCCTCAAGATTCATATTCGTGTCAAACCATGACGCTTTTGTCTCGGGCATCTTCACTCCAGAGAGCTTTCGGAACCTATCTCCATAACAATTTAGTGGAGTCCTTCTGACACAACCACCTGACCATTCTGTCAAGGCCCAGTCTCTAGGAACTTTTGGTACAAATCCATTCAAGCAATCACACAGTGGAGAGCTATGAATGTTGCAGAAACCATTTGCACCGCATAGTGCATAACGATCACAATTATCTGTATTGGTTGTTTCGTAAAGCAACCAACTTTTTGTATTCTCAATCCATGCGAGGTTGTCGAGATCACCATTCTGACTTGTCACTACCCTCCAATTCATTGATCTATTAACAAGATGTTCAGTGTAAAATATCTCCTTCTCGTTAAAAACAAATTCAAAAGTGTACATGGGATTTGATCTTAATTGAGGAATACCGCTGAAACGCAGACCATCCCATGGTCCGCTTCGGAATGTCACTTTCGAACCTTCGCTCACAATAATCTCAGGATATCCATAATGAACAAATAAACATGTAAAGTTACCTCTGGAAGGATCATCTTGTGACTTCCATGATGTCATGGACCAGTCCATTCCTGTTATTCTATTCCGTCCTAGCTTCATTTCTGGCAATAACGTATCACTTGGAAGTTCGAAGCTCTGCCAGAAGGAATTTTCTACTTTATTATCACCCTTCTCCTTCAGGACAAGGTTTCCTGAATCCAAAAGCTGTGCAACTGCATTCCGTGCCGGTGTTGAAGTGTTTGAAGACCAAATTACGCTCCCACTACGATTGAGAATGACAAGAATTCCCTGGTTGGTAAGTCTTAGAACACCTGAAGAATCATTGAGGGGGTTTCTCTGTTGGCTACCCAAACTACCGTGATGATAGGTATTTTGCCATACCATATCCCCACGTATCGATTTTTGGATTTGCCTGGGCTGAAAAAACCTAATACATAGGTTCCTTCAGCTGAAGCTATGGTATCTCCATCTCTAATGGACTGAGTTGTGTTTATAGTGTCAATTGCTGTGGCTGTTTCTACAGTAAGCAATAAAGAGGAGCAAAAGAGAAGTATAGTAATGTAATCCATTGGAACTCTCATGATTTTTCTGTTGCTCACTTTTTTGTTATCTATATATAATGGTCGGCTTTAATTAATTTTAGAAAATATTCAACATTTCACATAACAACGGCATGCATGCGAAATTGACCGTCAAGACTTGAGAAAGCTGACGAGGAAGCAGTGATTATGATCGTTGTTATGCCGTGGCCATTACGCCTGTAAACTTCATTCAACAAATTAAATCTTTTTTTTTTTTCAACGCACATACTATTACTACTACATTCACCCCCACGTATCTACTCTTTTTCAAGGATTAATTTTTCTTTTTTATATTATATTAAAAAAATATTTAATAACATCATAATGACAAACATCATTTTCAAAAATAAAAAAAATTTAAAGATAAATTTTAAAAATAAAAATATTAAATAATATAATATTTATTGAAATAAAATATACTTTCTTATATTTCTTCAAAAAAAAACATTATTCTTATAAAATTATAAATATTTTTTTTTTTTAATACAACAGATGTCATGTAACATCATCCTATTAATATGTTGTTTGCAATGACTAATTTGGAGGGACGTGGATTTGACTATTTGGCCGTTAAAGCTTCTTTCTTTTCTTGTTATCTACCAAAAAGTGCAGGATCTGTCCCCTTGTTATTGGGGACCTGCTGATGGGGACACGATTGGACAATAAAAGAAGGACGGCTACTATTTGGCAACTTCTGTTGCTCTTTACTTGACCTGACTATTTAACTAGGAATGTGATGAGCCGTTGAGTGACTAGAGCAATAAATTTAGGATATATAGTTTAAAATGACGGTGATAATTGTTAAGTGATAGTAGAGCGTGATAGAGAGTTTTCTTGTACTTCATGCTTACGAACAAGTTTTTATAGTTGGTTGGAAGATTGGAAGACCTTTTGATGCTGCTTGAAAAGTTGCGAATTGGTCTAAAAAATCTTTTTTGTATAAGTGTGTATTAGTTTGTATAGATTTAAACAGAAGAAAGAAAGATGTACATGATGGGTCTGTTTTTAGATTTTTTTGGAACTTGAATGAAGTTTTGATATTCATTGTCTCCTTTTGTGTTTTCCTTCTCTTTTTTTTTTTTTTTATAGGAGTTCTTGTTAAGTTGTGAAGATTGATGTGGATATATTCTGTAATTTAATATGCTACGTAGAATCCGTATAACAATCTCGCTAGGCGTATATAAGGTCATAGTGTATGTGTCGTGTATATAGACTACTTAGGTTTTATTTTATTTTTTTTAAATAACCATAGTTATCCACACTAAATATGAATATCTCTTACATTTGCAATCGTCAATTGAAAAGTCTAATAAAAACTCCTAGTACAACTCGTAAAGTAGATACACATACCAAACCATGTAAATCTTGTGTTGTTGTCTTTCTCTTTTATATTTTTGCTTGATCCATTCCCTAGCAACTAGTATTAGAGCTTTGGCTTCGCGAGG